AAAAAAAAAAAAAAAAAAGGGCCTCGCTCCACTACTCACCAAATGTGCAAAATGAGAACGAATCTCCCGCTAAAACATGGGCAATACACTGCCATACATATTTTTTGTCTTTGCGCATGCCGTGAGTATCGGAGCGAGGCCCAAAACCTTCGTATTTCGCGCTCAGTGTCCTTAGGCGGGTCCCGTTACACAGAGGATCGAAAAGAAAGATGATCACACCTCAAAAAAAAAAAAAAAAAGATGATCACATCTTGGGCGCGTTTTCATCCATCTCCGGCCGTCAATCTCTACAATCAACGGCCAGAAGTGAAAAATGCGCGCCAGAACGCGCGGACCGGTGCAACCAGCCCCCGGGGCCAGGTCCCACTACCTGTAGCAGCCTTGTGTTTCCTCGTCCATCCAGATGACGCTGCTACCGACTTTCCCCAACAAAATGCATCGTAATAATTAATGTATACACGCTACATTCCTGTCAGGTGCAGACAGGTTCATCCAGCGGCATCGTGTGTTGGATCAGAACGAACTTCGCCCACTGATGAAGCCAGCTTCATGCAGCGGCATCGTATGTCAGAATGAACTTCGTCCACTGACGAAGCCAGGTTCATGAGGTGTGAGCTGCTCGCATGTCCTGTTCTGCAAGCTATCACCTGTACTACCACAGGGCTACCACCGCGCCTACCGGTATACTTGCTACAATACTTCTCCAGACCGGTATTTCTGCAATTTGCCGTTTTTTTTCCCTTTTTTTTAAACACAATTACAGACCGAAGCCTGAACATCTGCACAACACCAGCAGCTCTATGGGATAATGGAGCCCCGGGATGAGTCATTAAATAGCCACAGCCCTAGGAATCGACAATCTCCAATCTCTGTGCTCCATGATGTATCTATGGGACGCTGGACCCGGTTTCCAGCAGGTGCCGCTCCCCACCAATAGATGGAGCAGCCCAACCGATAAGCCCTCAATTCAGACGGTTCTCGTACCACCAGCAGGATAGAGGGATATCGTGACGGCTATTCTAAAATAAAATAAAATTAAAAAAAAAAAAAAAAAAAAAAAAAAAAAAAAAAAACCATTGCAATCCCTCCACCTCACGACACGTCAGCATCTACTCATAGAACATGATTACCGAATCTGAGTTGAAGCCTGTAGTACAATGATCTACATACACACTGCCGTCGCAACACCACTGGCAAAACGAAAAATATATACGACTGTATGTATCTTTCCTCAGTAAGTGGCCCGATACATCAGTTACTCCTCTTCGTACGGGAATTATCTTGCCAGCTTTAGTGGAAAGATGCACTCCCATATCCTTTTCGTTTCATGACCGGTATGGCCAGGCCCATACTCCTTGACTGGAAAGATTGATTGAGTCAATCGAGAACCAGTCGATCCACCTTTTTCTTTTTTCTTTTTTTCCTCTCCCAAATTCTTTTTCCGCCTTTCACTACCTCTTTGGAATCCAGCTGCGTGCCCAGGGGCCAAGTCCCACTAGCATCGTTGAGCTACCTCAACGCCTGAATCTGGACGTGTTTGTGGAGACGTGCAGTTCAGGAAACTCAAGACCATTTCTGCACATCTCTGCAAAAGCGTCCAGATTCAGGCATTGAGGTAGCTCAACGCTGCTACTCGGACTTGGCCCCAGCTCATCATATGGCGTACTATTCTTTCGCCTCTTACTAAAGAATACCATGGGCTGAGCACACTGAACAGCTTCCAACGTTCTATTCTTTTTTTTTTTTTTTTCGCTCCGTCGAAGGGCTAATTAAAAGAAGAGAAAACTACAGTGCAGTCAGTCAGGGTTTGAGTTTGAAAATGCACTTGATGAGGCAAAAGGGCCGGTAATGGTGAATGTAGATAACCTAGGTTTCGGGTCCGGTGGGGTCACGTGGGGATGTGTTGTGTTCGCGGGATTGCCTGAAATGCATTTTCAAACTGGTTTCGTGAGTGCGCGGAAGTGACTGGCCCATCGAAGAAGCTAATGTAGGTCCTGATGTTACCGGCTGACCCCTGGCCGGTATCGCCCACCTGCTGTAGCAGGTATCGCACCTGCTGGTGGGTGCAGCTCCCGCATGTTCCCTCGTTGGAGGCTTGAGCACGGATGTGGCTGCTACGGGGTTCCCCGTAATACTATAATGACAATAAAAAAGGACTGAAACGCTGTCCTGTCCAGATTTGACAGGTAATTGAATTGGTTGGGCTTAAAGAATTACCCTTTTTTTTTAATAAAAAAAAGAAGTTACCCCATAAAACAATGAAAAAAGAATAAATATAACTTTTGGAGTACAAAAAAAAAAAAAAACTTAAAAAAAGCCTTCAGAAGCTAGGATTGGTTTATCTACACCTTTAGATAGGTGGAACGATACCCCTACCTTCTTCCCCCGAATACAACGTACGGTCATTATAGCCGTATTTGAGGCATCTTTCAGTCTAGATACAGCTATAATGACCGTACGTTGTATTGGGGGAAGAAGGTAGTTGATAGGTACGTTGATGACCTCGTTGATAGATGAGTCGGTATCCCAACTGCTAGCCTAGTTACAAGGCAAGTTGTGGTATACATACTACAGAGAGCTGCAGATCCTCCGTTCCTTGCATGCTTTCGTTTTTTTTTTTTTTTTTTTTTTATTATCGGTGACTTCCTCTCTAATCTGTATACAGCATGCAGCATAAGCAAGTTATGATTATTACTCGTCCTAGATGAGGACACGTGTTTCAAGGACCTGTCGTCATTATTTCTTAGATAAGAAACATATGATTACCGTAATCCTGGATAAGACAAAATTTAACGTGTCGAGGATTTGACTGTGTCATCATGTTTCTGTGACTTTCTAACCTTTCTGTTTTTCTTTGTACCGTCAACATATATTATCACTCCATGTACTCTTCTGGACCCTTTTTTTTTTTTTTTTTTTTTTTTTTTTTTTTTTTTTAAAGAACGGCGATGGCCTCGAGGTATTATCATCGGACTAACCAGCCCAGGTAAATTCAATATTGTGTTGACGAACTGAAGACTCGAATTCACGGTGTGCAAATCGACATACACACCGTTGGGTAATCCTCTCAGGTACCACTAACACGCGGTCCGAAGTTACAGTGTTCATCATCAATAGTCCACACTGGTCGATACACAGTCCCTTTTTTTTTTCTTTTCTTTTTTTTTCAAGGGGGGACAGTCTTTTAACAAGAGGGAGTTTTTTTTGTAGTCCAGACACATAGTCCATATCGACATATTCGCTGAAACATAGTAGTCTTTTAATAAGAGGGGGAGAGTCCCTTGCACCAATAGATTCCAGATTGCAGCCATTTATAGAACAAACATGTATGCTATTTTTATTAAAAAAATGTAAGCTATCTTTAATCTTTAAGAACAAAAAAGTGTAAGAAACCGACTCGTCTCTGCTTTGGATAAGAGACGCATAGAGAGGATTGCCATTTAGCCTCCCTTCACCTAGTACTAGAATATTAGGGGAAACGTCCGTCAACCCCTCGCATAAAACCAGGGTATCCGTCACTCCCGTTCCCACCACCAGCTCCTCGACTTCCTCCTCCTCCTCCTCCTCCTCCTCTTCCTCCTCTACTGAGTTTTCTCCCCTTCCACCTCCCCCCCTTAATACACGCCACAACCGATTCCTCTCTCCTGCTGATAAACAGGGCATACAACTCCACCTCTGTTTGCCTTTCGAATACACAATACCTGCGTCAAGAAGCACGATTGCCACAATAGACTTGACTGCTTTCCGTGTAACAGCCAAGGCCAAGAGAGATACTACGAGGTTTGCATGCAACAATCTGTCATTTCTGTGTGCCTCTCTTCCTCTTCCACCTCTCATTCTCTCTCTCTCTCTCTCTCNCTCTCTCTCTCTCTCTCTCTCTCTCTCTCTCTCTCTCTCTCTCTCTCTCTCTCTCTCTCTCTCTCTCTCTCTCTCTCTCTCTCTGTGTCTCTCTCGCTCTCCTGCCCATTAACATCCCACCAACTTGGCCATTATCTTCATGAAACGTGGATGTCCTTAGTAAATCAATACGATCTCTGGTCGTTTTTTTTTTGTTTTTTTTTGGGGGGGAACAAGACTCCAATCTATTCGTGGGGAGCAGCACGTGCTGGGAACCGGGCCCAGCGTCCCATATGGAAATTTACATAGAAGTTTGAAAGTTTGAGATACCGGGGCCATTACCCGACTTTGGCTAAGAAAAAATTGAGCTACTTAGAAAATTACTACGATGAAATTTCAGAAATAGGCAAAATTCAGACAACAACTCAGAAACCCCCCATCAATCCTCTTTACCTCACTCCGGCAAGACTTACTGCAGCAGAGCCACCATCTCCGCTGCTGCTGTACCCTATTTCCATCCTACCAGCTAGCCCCCTCACTAGTAGGACGCGTAATATCCCACCATCTCCTTCTCCCACTCACCTCGATCTCTTTTTTTGAGATACCGGGGCCGTTACCCGGCTTCGGCTGAAAAAATGTCTGAGAATACTTGCAGTAATTCGGGAAGCATGGGAATAGACCGCAGAGGTCCTACAAATGCTCCAAAACCCTTGAAACCCCTGACAAACCCTTCCAAAGTTCTCCAACACTGTCTTACTCCCTGCCGAGCTCTTCCAGGCCTCACACCCCCACATCCTGTTGGGTTACAGGGCGACACAACTCACCCTAGCTCCGACCAGCGTCGTCCCGGCAGCAACCCTTGGTTGTCCCGTGGAATGCCCACCCCAAAGCATCCCCAGATCTCTCTACCAGGCCTCACGCTCCTGCATCAGCAGGTTACAGGGCAACACCCCAGCACCGGCCAGCGTCGTTCTGGCATCGAACAGCTGCAGATCACTGAGTAGAACAGCATCGAAGCCACCTAAGACGAGTTACTAGAAGTCCCCAGAGTCAAGAGAATTTAGAAAAAAACTAGAGTACCAACTACTTCGAGTCTTGAATGCGTAGAAGCTTTCAGCCCGAAACCAAAATGCCCTAGTGTGATTGAGCCACCCGCCCTAAGCCTACCTCAACCCACATGCTTACCCAGACTCTACCAGGCCTCACACCCCCAACTGCAAGGTTACAGAGTGGCACGACCCACTCCAGAATAACCCCCACCTGCTGGGCTACAGGGCGAAGCGACTCGGCTCCGACCAACGTCGTCTGGATACCAGCTTATCAACAGACACTGGAGTGCCTTCCACCCTCGGCAACTCCCCAGATCTCTCTACCAAGCCTCTTGCTCCCGAACAACTCGGGTCACAGGGCAGCGCGACCACGCCCCAGCACCGGCCAGCGTTGTTCTGGCCTCGTCCATTCACAAACCTCTGAGTTTGTGAGCATCAGCAAACACAAGACAAGCCGCCAACCTCACCATGACAGTGTTTTCCAATGCCTCCAACTCCTTCATGCGCTGGTTGCAGTCCTTCCTCAACCCCCTGCATCCCTCCATCTCAACCCCTCTCCGGCAAGACTTATACCGCAATAGGGTCATTCTCCCTACTGCTGCTGTGCCCTAATTCCATCCTGCTAGCTAGCCCCCTTCGCCGCAAGATGCATAACCAACCTTCCTACCAAACCATCCAACCAAAAAAAAAAAAAAAAAAAAAAGGAAGAAACCACTACGACCAGCACCAGTTTGAAATTCAAACCGAGGTTATGTAACATATTGGAGGTAAACCAAAAATATTTTCCAGATCATATGTAGAACACTCATCGAGTACAACAATGAAAATTCAAGGGTTTCAATGACGAATCTAATGATTAGAATGACTTGATAGCAAATTCAAACACAGTTAAAAGTACGATTCTATAGATCTGTAAATCTCTCAGAAAAAGCAATTCATGCAATCAAAAATTTAAAACTAGGTTAGAGTCACTATTGAGAATCAAAGTTCTTGATATCAGAGTTCGAATTCTGATTTATGGATAGCACTATCAAGAAACTGAACCAAGGATTTCAACGTAAGAAATAAGTTGGGAAACAAAATTGACCCGTATTTAAAAAATTGTCGGAATTTCCGAATTTGTAGGAAATCAATTTCAAATAGTACTTAGAAATTTTATAACAGAATCAAAATCATTTCAAAATAGAAGGGAGTACTTCATGAATCTCTTTACCAATCAAACTATGAGTTAGAAGAAAGCCATCAGTTAGGAGAACTTAGGACCTATTCTTCGATAAGGATGGCAGTCACGGCACCAAGTAAAATCACATCACTCCCCCCCGTAGCCGAGCAACCCACCCCTCACCCATTCTCCATTACTTTACCCGCCCCCCACCCATACCGTTTTCCTTCCGATTCCCTCCACGAACCTAAACCGCCATGCCTTCTTGTGAGGAGAGACCTTAATCCATCCCCACTCAGGGGCAGAAAGCAATGGGCCCAAGCCCCCACTTACCAAATCCTTGCAGGGCTCGTTGTGACACGACATCGCCAAACCTGCCAGCGATCTATCACAGAAGATCCTATTTGAAGTGAAAACCGGAAGGCACTTCCAACAAACACAAGCAAAGCGATCAAGGAAAGGAGTAAAAAGACAACTAAAAGGGAGGAAATGCAGAGAGGCGAAGTGAAGAGAAGAAAGGAACAGCTAACCTCCTCCCCTTTCCTTCTCTCCAAGCTGTATCTTTCTATTTTTCCTTCAATTCACAACCTCCCCCTCTCTCCATCCACTCACGACGTCAGCCAGCTAATTCTGCTGCTGATCTAAGACACCCCCAATCTCCGTGCTCCCTCCTACTATCTTTTTCTCCCCCACCCTACACAAAAAAAACTTCGCTCCAACTATGGCTGGCACAGCCAACTCTACAGCGCAATCGGGTTAAGAGAAGCTTTAACAACACAGTGCCACTTCAACGAAACGAGCGGGATAAATCTCAAAAAGTTACATCAACAGACCTCAACCCGCTCGCTGCTGCTCCCTGCCATCACACACCTCACACTTTCGCCCGCCGCTTCACCTGATTACTCCCACACCGTACTGACGAGTCGCGAGCCCCACGAGGCGCCACCATCCCACCCCTACCCCCTGCCCCGTCATCCTCCATACACCCTGTTACCATCAACCCCGCCCTCTTCCCCCGCGCCTCGCCGCTCGTTGCTGCTCCCCATCGCCACTCGTCGCCACGCCCTGCCCTCCCGCGCCTCGTGATTTCGCCGGCCACGTCGCCTACTTCGCCTGGCTTCTCCGTAGCACACCGACAGGATCGTACTGGCGCCGGCGGGGCGCAGCGCTCCCGGCCACGCCGCGCCCCACGATCTCTGATCTTCTTCACCGCACTGATGCAAAGTTTGACGACATCTGCCTCTAGCTCTGCACACCTTTTCTAATTCATTCTCCTCCTCCAAAAGTTTTTCCGAATTTTCCAAGTTCTGCTGTTGACTTTGACCGTTGACCCCACTCTTTCGACAATTATAATCACGAATGTATTTCTTTCAACTGTGCATTCAGCTCGCCCTCAAACAGATCATGCTGTTCATATGTCCTACATCCTCTCTCTCCGGAGACTCCAAGCCAATCTCTTTCCCATCCTCCTCCCCCTCCTCCTCTTCCTCCTCCTCCTCCTCCTCTTATTGAAAGAAATGCAGATGGGGAAAATAAAAGATTAACTCCTCCTTATTAGAATCCTTAAAGTGCCAAGTTCCAGAACCCCTTCAAGTTTGCCTCTCTTCCGTTACAATTGCATAATCCAGCTACTCCAAGCCAATCTCTTCCTTGTCGGCATTAGCGCTGTATACAGACACTTGAACCTTTTGCCTGAATGGTTATAACAACGATGATTTTTTCATCATCTACTCCATCTCTTCAAGTTCTCCACTTCTTCTCCCCTTCCTCTTGTTTTTAATCCTGCTCGTCTTCTTCTTCGTCGTCTGCTTTTTCTTCTGCTTTGTCTCCTTCTTCTCGTTCTTCAACTACTGCTGCTGCCTCTTCTGCGGCTGCTCCTTTGCTTTTCCACTTCTTCTCACTTCCAGACCCTGACATCTGACACCTGAAAAAACACTGACCACCGACATGATGGTTTGCACTGTAACTTAACTTCTCTCAGACGTACCAAGAGAAGCTCCCTGGCAATTCGCTCCTTCAGGACTGAATCGTGTCTGAGTCTGACATGCAATTACCTCAGCTCTCCCATTCATCTTGTAAGAGGCAGGTTTGCTTTCCGGTCTGTGGACCTGTCTCTACCTGTCTGTGACATGATGGTTCGCACTGTAACTTGACTTCTCTCAGACGTACCAAGAGAAACTTCCCGTGGTTCGCACTGTAACCTAACTTCTCACAGACGTACCGGCCACGCTGACACACCCGCTTTCCTCAGTCCCATGCCTGCACATCTATCTATCTGCAGATCCTGACATCTGACAGCTGAAAAAACACTCACCACTGACATGATGGTTCGCACTGTAACTTAACTTCTCTCAGACGTACCAAGAAAAGCTCCCCGGCAATTCGCTCCTTCAGGACTGAATCACCACGCCAACTTGAAAGAGTTGTGTCTGAGTCTGACATGTAATTACCTCAGCTCTCCAATTCATCTGCTACAACAAGGCAGGTTTTCTTTCCGGCCTGTGGACATGTCTTTACCTGTCTGCGACATGATGGTTCGCACTGTAACTTAACTTCTCTCAGACGTACCAAGAGAAGCTCCCCGGCAATTCGCTGCTTCAGGACTGAATCGCCAACTTGAAGGAGTTGTGTCTGACATGTAATTACCTCAACTCTCCAATTTGTCTGCTACGACGAGGCGGGCTTGCTTTCCGGCCTGCAGACCTGTCTCTACCTGTCTGTCTGTCTGTCTGTCTATCTATCCATCCATCCATCGACCTGCAGTGCATTGACTTGATTCAGGGTAAGGAATAGTCAGATGAAGACTCTGAGGGCTTACCCTTGCTTGTGTCATCGATCGACCGCAAGTCTCTTGACGAGATCACCGACATCCAGGTGCTGCGTGAACTACCCTCATCACTGAGGAGGAGTTCATCCATTCATAAGCCTCTTGGCAGGCTGCTGAAGCTAATTGCCGGGGCCGTTAACTGCATCCTCAGCGCAGCAGAGAAGCAGTCGGCGGCTTCTGACAGCCTTCCCTCTTGCTTGTGAACTAGCCCGAGGGCATGCCATGCAACGTGATCCGTCGAATCCTCGTGCAATGCATCGGTCAAGAAGCTCCTCGCCAAGGGTAGACTTGCCCCCCCCGTGTGGCAATGGAGAATACCCATTCGGATCATTGTTGGGGCGTGTGTCGGGTCCATTGCCAATGCGTTCTCGTACGACGCCAACGCTTCTTCCTTGTTGTCTCCGTCCTGCGCCTCTTCAAGCAAACCGTTCACATACCAATGCTTGGGTTCGTACCGCGACAAACACGGGTGATCGACGCACGTGAAAGCGTCGTCCCATTGCCTCAACGCAATGTACACCTCCGTGAGATCCACCCAGACGTCAGCCTCCCGGACTCCGATTGCGTCATCGTCCTCGAAGCAGAATGGTGATGGAGAGGGGAACTGGCCGCTCGGCAGATATTCCAGTCTGGGAGCAGCTTGCTGATTTACCTCTGTCTTCCTGCCTAGGATTTGCACCAACGCTAAGAGCTTCTTGTATGTCTCTAGCGCCATCTTGTATTGTTCCGATGCGACCTGAATCTTCGCCATTGTTCGTAACAACAACCCCTCGTCGCATTTGCTCATGGCGGCGTCCAAACCAGCGTAACAAACTTCCATTGCGTCTTCCCATCTTCGCTGGGATGACAACAGCAGAGCCACGAGTCGCCAGGCTTTGACGTGGGTACCATTGCTCCAGTCAAGCGCCTCCCTTGCAAACTCCAGAGCAGGAACGATCTGCCGCATCTCCGCGTACTGCCTTGCAAGATCATAGACTACATCCGCGTCTCCAAGCTCAAGGGTCGCAGACTTGTGCAGTGCTTCCAGGGCACAAGATTGCATCTTCTGCCTCTCAGTGTCGGACAACGCCGCCTTTGCCCGCACGCCCAACACAACTCCCAGGACATGGTAGGCTTTTCCCCGTAGGCATTCGTAGTTCCCTACAGCGTTGGCGACAGCCTGCTCCGCCCATGCCAAGCCCATGCATGCCAGGCCAACGTCACGCGAACATAACTTCCCTGCCAGAAGGAGAGTGGGAACATCGTTCGGCCATTCTCGAGCAGCTCGGCCGATTACGTTCAGTGCCAGATCCTTGTTCCCGGCGCTCAGATGACTCAACGCTAGACTATACCACCTCTCCGGTCGGCTGTACACCCCTGGCTTCACGTCGTCATAAAGCTTTGCCACCGAGTCAAACTGCGCCGATGTGGACAACACGAAACACAGGTGCTCCGCGTTGAAATGATCCCAAGCATCATGCTGCAAGAGCGTCAGCAACAGCACCGCCTCCTCGGTGTTGTTGGCGGGTGCGAAAACATCCGGTGTGCATTCGCGATACGACGACGATTGCTGACCGTTAAACGTGAGCAGTTCGGAGTCGGTTAGAGGCGGCGGAGCTTGGAAACCAGCGTAGATAAGGTCCAAGGCAAGCTCTTTCTGAACATCCCCTTTAAACGCCGCACTGAGAGATAGAGGGCTCACTAGCGCACGCCGATACGCATTGATAGCGCGCATGAACTCACCGGTCCGCCGATGAAGGCGTGGAAGGGTCACCATCGTTTCAAAGATCAGGTCCTTGAACTCCGTGGTCGCCCAGTCGCACACAGGAGGATGGGAGAATCCATGCGGAAACGCATCCCCAATCAGCTTCACGATCTCCTTGCAGACTTCTGCCCCCTCTGCAACACAACTCCAACAGCACACAGCAAGAAACACCAGCGTCAGCCCATACATCGCACTAGAACTATTTGGATTGAAATTCAATGAATCATGGACGAAATCGCAGCCAGGTACATCCATGTATGGCTCTAATTCTGTGTGAATGACGATGCACAGTGCTAGGCACAATCGTGAAGTGTCAGCACACATGCGAAACACACATGGAAGGACTTGGACTGGACAACGAGACAAGTGAAAAAAATCAAAGTGCAGGTTACTACGCGGAAGTTAAAAAATACATGACGAACAGCTGACAAACATAGCGTGCGCCCGACGGCGCAATTCTGGTATGATACATCAACGATCCCCAATCTGGAAGGTTGATTTCTTTGTCAAATGCATTTCTCTCTGTGTGTAAAAAACTTAATGTGTCCTTTAGGGCATCCATTAACATTTGAACCATCTAGAGAACATCAGCCCAAAAGAAGGAAGAAAAAAAAGACAAAATAAATGTGCCCGAGAAAAGAAACGGAACACGTGCACATATGCATTTCCTGCACGATTGCCACTCCAAGAACACAGTTTACAAAAAAGAAAGAAATGAAAAAAAAAGGAGCCGCAAATGATCAAACAGAGGCGCCTTACTGCGCGGCAAGCATTTCCAAACCGCCAGCGGCGCACTTTCTTTCTTTTTTGGCTGGCGCCGCCAGCCATTGCGGTCCGGTAGGCCGAGCCTCCGAAACTTTCGTAGGCAACGAGTTGCATTTTCAGCAAGGCTGGGCCAGTGTACTGGCAGTTTAAAAAACCGCCAGTGCGCCCCACGGGGGAATATCGGTCGTGGGGAGGAGGTCTCAATATTTCCTTTAGCCGCATGCAGCTGTTGGGAGAAGCCGTGTGGGGGGCTGAAGCCCTCTTTGTTTTTGGGTACCCCGCCCTCGAGATGCTTGAATACACCCGTCCTTTGGGACATCCGTTAAAATTGGAACGATGCAACGACAAAAAAAAAAACAGTTATGCCCGTGTACCTTTCCATGCTCTACCGGAAGATTCATTTCCATTGTCCGCGGCGGAGTCCCGCTTGTTTCTCATTTTAGTATTACGGGGAACCAACCCCACAGCAGCCAGCCCGAGTTCAGCGGGGGCTGCGCCCGACCTGCAGGCGGGCGATACCGGCCAGGGGTCAGCCGGTAGCATCAGGACCGAGCTTCTTCGATGGGCCACTCGCTGTGCCTCCCCTCCAGTCCCCTCCCCGTTCGATCATCCGCAGTCTCTGCTCAATGTCTCTCGGGGGAACTGACGGCCTATATCTAGGTGGCGGGCACCAAGCTTGGCCAGGAAGATACATAAGGCCAATGGGGATTGAACCCAAGACCTCCTGAATACCACTTGCATGCCTTACCAACTGAGCTACGTCGCTGGATGTAGTACTCCTTTATTCAGAGTGGCTAAGATTTCGGCCACGTTAAGAAAAAGAAATTGAAAAGAAAAGCAAGTCACACAGGTGCCAAAAAAAAAAAGGATTTCAGGCAGGTTATCCCTCTCAAGTTGGGCTGGACCTTTAAAAAAAAAAAAAAAAAGAAGACATCAAATCGCAACGATAACTACCAGCACCTCACCTAGAGTGCACGTGCTAAAGAATCAAGGGACACTAACATTCACAAGGCCAGTCAGGTGTCGTTTCTGGTGCTTTACTCACACAACGACTTTCCCAGACGCATCTGACCGCAATCCCACCCACTCTTGGATGATTCAGACCTCAATTACGTCCAGAGACCAATTGAAAAAGATATAGTGTCCCAACAAATAGAGTGGAGCAAGGAATTTCGCTCCAGTAATCCATTTGAACGTTTAAATATGCCCACATGTCGAACGTCCGCAACAAGACGCCCACTCGGTCTGCAAGGCTACTGAGCCCGCAAGGAGACGGCTCTGCAAGAAGATGCACCCCACAATCTGAGAGCATAGTCAGCCCATAATTGCAGCCACACAGGGATGCATCTGTCTCTAATCTTGTCCATAATTCAATCCAGTTAGACCGATTGTGAGAAAATAAAAAAAAGTAATTTCTCAATATTAGGTCAAAAATTTTCACTGCAACAGTTTAGTAGTTTACCATCCACCTGTCCAGTCCGCAGAAGTTCCCACAGAACCGTGCAAGATGTCGTACATCACACGGCTTTCCAACTAGAGGAATATATTACCCTCCCTCATGATGGGCGACTCCTAAGTGCCCAGAACCGAAAGACAAGCACACTCACAATAGGACTAATCGGATTGAATCATGGACGAGAACAGAGACAGATGCATCCCTGTGCGGCTGCAATTATGGTCTGCTACATCGCTGAAACAGCACTGCAATCTCCTTGAGACTCCGGAAAACACATGATGCAGTTCCCCTTTTTTTCCTTTTGTTTTTTTGGATTCTACTCCTTTGGAGACTCCCTCCCATCCTCCCTCTCTCACCAGCTCTACCTGGCGCATCCCCACTCCCGCAGTCCTGCCTCAGTGCTTACCACTCACTGACAGGACTATCACCCTTCTACCATCATTTGGCACATCTTGAGGGTGCTGCATTTGGACACTCCATCGGACATGGGGAACGCAACACAGCAGATACACATAGGACCACACAACGACGAACAAATTGAGAAGGAACATGGCAGAAACAACTCACAGATTGGCCAGATTTATATTAAAAAAAAAAAAAAAAAAAAAAAAAGATGAGACCCGGCACACCCGGGAAGTACCTGTGGGATGGAGAATTGGAGCAATTTCAAATTTATAAAAGGAATGAATGAAGCAAAGGCAGAGCGAGGCAATTTGCGACTCTTGAGACAGCGAAAGGGTGTGACAGGGAAGAAGGGTGAGATTGAAAGCAGTGAAGGGAAAGGTCATGCCCAGCAGTACCTTTCAGATGGGAAGTCGGAGAGTTTTCGAAATTACAAAAGGGAATGAATGAAGCAAGGACAGAGTGAGGTGTGTTTTGAGAACTTTTGACTCTTATGACAGCGAAAGGGGGTGTAACAGGGAAACAAGGGTCGGACAGGTAGCAGTCAAGGGAAGGGTCAGAATTTCAGCTCGGCAGTACCTTTGGGATGGCCCAATTTGGCCAAACATTTGGCTTGGCATAGGAAGGCATTGAGCAGTATTGCAGCATGATGAGCTGACAGCGATATTCCTTCCGTCTGAGCCTTCGTCCGCATTCGCTTGGAGCTTTTGAAAAGCTCAACCGTCGTCAACAAGCGGCTCTTCACACTTGGCAGACTCAATCCTCTGAATGCGAACAAAGCCTTTTCATAGTCTTGCTGCTCGAACTTTGCAGCACCCCAGAGGGCTTTCGCTTGCTGAATTGAAAGGTACAAGGGTGGGTCAAGTGAGCCGTGGGGAGCGGCGGGGTGGGGGGGTGCAGAAAGGAGGGGTGCCACAAATTGAAGGGTACAAGGAAGGGTCAAGTTCGGGCAAGGGGTCAGCAGAAAGGAGGTGTGCCACGAATTGAAGGGTACAAGGGCCGGCAGCAGAAAGAAGGGGTGCCATGAATTGAACGACACAATTTACGATCAAGTTGTGTATTTGTGCATGTGCGTGTGCGTGTGCGTGTGCGTGTGCATGTGTGTGTGTGTGTAGGGGGGGGTAGGGCAGCAGAAAGGAGGGGTGCCAAAACATAGAAGACAGCAAAATCACAATAAATGACTGGAAGATTAAGAGAAAACGCATGGAAGTCTGCAAAAGGATATAAGTTATTGAACCAGGAAAATGTTAAAAGACTGGAAGATTAAGAGAAAACGCATAATAAATATTCTAAATATTGAATTTCTCAATCCAAAAACAAAGAGAACCAGGAAAATGTTAAAAATTCCCAGAAATAACCACCAATGCCGCCCCCTCTCCACCCTGACCCCCCTGGCAAAAAAAAAACTCATAAGCAGACTGAAAACCTGAGATATACCTGCACCCATTTGTTGCAGCCTGTAAAAGTCCCAAATTTAGTAATTCAGAGACTGGTAAGACCTTGCTCACACTGGGACTTTTCTGGATGTATCGGATGCCAATCCCGCCCAAATTCATTCCCGAAAGTCCTTGTGTGAATGCATTTTAGAAAGAAGGCGACGAAGAAGAAGCAGAAGAAGAAGCTCAAGCTCTGGCCTGTTTTCCTCAATCACGATTTTTTCAATTTCTCAAGTTGTCTTTGATGCATGGGGGTCATCTTTTCTTTTCTTTTTCTTTTTCTTTTTCTTTTTCCTTTTTTGGTCATCTTAACTCTCCCCATCATTCCACTTTCAATGTCATAACTTTCCTTTCATAAACAACACTCTTCCTTGGGGGCCCTCCAATAGAGGTTAAAAAAAACGAAGTCTAAACAGACAGCAGTTTACATGAGTTCCCAACAAGTAGATATGACAAAGTGACGCTGGACGACACAGAGTGACGCGGACGACACAAGGTGACGCTGGACGACACAGAGACACAGCCACTCATCAAGAGCAGACGTCCGAAACAACCAAGTACATAGCATACCACATGGCCAGGAGGAAGAGGACAAAAAGAGTGAAATAGGGAGCACACCAAGGAGGACAAAAATGTGTTCCTGACACATGCTCTCTCTCTCTCTCTCTCTCTCTCTCTCTCTCTCTCTCTCTCTCTCTCTCTCTCTCTCNTCTCTCTCTCTCTCTCTCTCTCTCTCTCTCTCTCTCTCTCTCTCTCTCTCTCTCTCTCACACACACACACACACACACACACACACAATCAGTTTCATATGCCTTTCTTCTCTTGTTTTTCTTGGTACTTTCTGTGAGTTTAAGTGAGCACATCCAAGCAGTGCCAAATAGTCGGTCAGTCCTTTCAAGTGCCTACATCACTATTAAGGGGGCTGCTCAGTTCGGGAAGTCTGCATATCCTACAGGTGATGACTGATGTTTGTCGGAGTGACTCCCCGGCTCAGCGGGTGGCGAGAACCAACAGTCTACGGGGCTCACTTGTGGTGTGAGTAGGTGATGTACTGCTTCGCTCAATGTTGGAAGTGTGGACTGCCTTGTCTATGCTCCACAGCTGCCTTGCTGACCATCCGACTTGCTTCCCATGTCCAGCTGGTGTATTTGCCGTGTAGTTCGGCTGCGTTGTTGGTGTTGCCTTGTGCTGCGCTGCACTGTTGCCTTGCTGCCCATCTGTGTGCCTTGTCGTCTCGTGCACTTTGCTTGTGTGCTGCGTTTTGGCTTCTTTGGCAGTGTTGCCTTGTGCTTTGCTGTCTTGTTGCCTTGCTTCCCGTCCGCTTGCACTGTCATTCTATGGCGTTAGCTTTGGCGTTGTGCAGTTGAGTTGCCCCCGGTGACGCTTCCTGGTGCTTCGCTGAGTGGGTGGCCTGCTGCCATGTTCCGCTTGTGTTGCCTAGTGGCGGTATGCTTTCAACAAGGGTCAAAGGGTTCATGACCCACAGCATCAAATATGAGGATTCTGCAGCTTGTCGAGGTTCGGCCTCCTGATGACTCGGTGCAAGTCCAATGAAACAATCTATCATCATCAGTTTTTTTTTTTTTTTGTCTCTCTTTTTCCTTTTTAACTAAGCTACACTCTTCTCTCCATTATACCTCACACTACCTACCTACCTATATCGTCCAGGGGAAGTAGGATTCTGTCTGAACAGAACACTGAGGGTCCACTCGGGTTGAGGGGATCCACTAGGGTTGGGCCCAAACCCGGGCCAGGGATCGCAGAGGCAAGGGCCGAGGGTAGAACCCAGCCCCCCCTACCAAGACCGGCCAGGGGGGAGCAAGCCATCTAAGCTGGTGAACCCCAAGCGCACCGCAGGAGGCCATGGGGGATTGAACCCACAACCTCCTGAATACCACTTGCATGCTCAACCAACTGAGCTAGGCCGCTGGCCTTTTCTCGTTTTCAGTGCTTGTGCTTTTCTGGTGTGATGTTCTTTGCCTAGTTGCCTTTGGCTCGTTACCTTTCCCTTGCTGCCTTGTGCTGTTTGCCTGCCCACCGTCCCCGTGCCCACCAGCCTATGTTCTCTGCTACTGCTTCTCGTCCACGCCTGGGGCATACTGATACCACACAGGCCCCAGTTAGGGCACGGTTCTGTAGTAGACACGGGTTAGGCCTAGGTACTGGGTCACGACGGTCCCAGCTAGGTCCAGGTAGGCCTACGAACCGTCGGTTCAGACTAGAGTCCGGTAGGCCTAGTTTAGACCCCTCCAGACCCAATGGCTAGTCTGGTTAGGCCAGGTACTGGTCCATAGGTAGGACCGGCCGGCCGCGCAGTTTAGGCGCCACTTTACTTTCAGATTTCGGAATCAGATCTGAACCGTTGGGGCTGATCAACAGTCCAGACCCGAAGGCACCAGTAATACTGAGGCCGGCCCAGCACTATATCAGCTGGGCACCAGCCTCAGTAGGGAGGTTAGTCTACAGGTTAGCGCAGTGTTTCGGTGTTAGCATGAGCGGAGCAGCAGAGAGAATTAGCGCAGCGAGGAGGAATAGCGCAGCAGCGGAGTAGCGCCAGCCCTCTGGCCCAGCGCCCAGCCCTGCAGCGCCATAGCTGCATCGCCAGGTACCAGGGAGAAAGGGTTCGCCTTTCCTCCCTCTTCTTCCTCCTCCGCTCTCTCTCTCTCTCTCTCTCTC